ATAGCCTGAATGTATTATCTTATGCTAAACAAGTTCATCCATTCGTAATCGTGTGCGGTGTGTCGCCGCTCATACCTTTTAAAAGTAATATGTAGAGAAGGTCTGCTGTCGAAGAGCAATTTGTTGTGTCATTACCTATTATTGTTGGTGAGTCTGGAGTGGCGTTCCAATTCATGACATTGTCCATTTGCACTTGTAAGTGGAAACATGGAGAAAACTAACCTCCGGAGCTACATTAGCACAGATTGAAATAAACAAAATTAACCAATCAAAATTTATAGGCGATGATTGAGGAAAGAAACGCACTTGAGATTATATCTAGCAACTCATGAACTGAAACTCATTATCCCTCGAGTACTATCATCTTGAGATATTGTTGCTTGCTAACTATAGTTATGAATAAGAAACTAAAGAAACGGTTGTCATCAGGTTACCACAAATTTATGATCAAATATGTGTTGGGATGCAATGTACTTCTCTCACTCTGCTGAGCTTGCATGCATGTCCATTGACAAATTCAGACAAACAGCTAACAAACTGTTGTTTTAAGCTCTCTCCATGCTATAATATAATGTGTCCATACATTTAAATATTCAAATTTTAAAATGATCAATAATTAGTATAATATAAATTCAATTTTATTTACTGAAAATAATATCAATGAATTGGTATTTAAATTTACTTTCATATGGTTATAAGTTTTTCCTACAAATTTTATACTATATGAGAAATTATAGACCAAAGATTAGTTTTGAAGACCATATCAGGTTTAACCATGTCTTATAGGATGGATGTAGGGAGTACAAAATGTGATGGGAACATGGAAAATATGACTTTCTTGAATTTATATTGCGGCAGCCAAGGAAACATACATGATCAATGGGGGCCTTTGGGGGTTCTCAGATCACAAATTAGATCCCAAAGAGCAAAAAAGAGCAGGGGTGGCTCCGAGCGATCACCCCCCATCCCCCTATACACTACTCTCTCCCTTCCTCCTCCCCTTATTCTCTTTCTACTACACCATAAATTAAAAAAAAAATAAAAAATAAAGTTGGAAAAAATTTTGTATAGAAAATACTATATATAAAAAATATTTGAATTTAAATTCAAATTTGAAACATGTATGTAAACTTTGGGTCTATAAACTAATATTTGAATTAAAATTCAAATTTGAATCGGGTATGTAAACTTTTGACTTATAAACTTTAGGTTTATAAACTTTAGATGTATAGAAATACTATATATTTGAATTCAAATTCAAATTTGAATCGGATATATAAATTTTAGGTGTATAAACTTTAGATGTGTAAACTTGAGGTGTACAAACTTTAGGTGCATAAATTTACTAGAATAGGAAAGTACTGCGGTGCCAAAAAAAGAACCCACATGGAGGAGGGGGGGGGGGACGGGCCCTGATTGCCTAGCAAAACCGAAAAAGAGCCATCCCTCGAACAACTGACAATGAGCCCGAAATTTTGACAAATTGACCCTTTTATAAAATTTATTTAAAAAATAACCCATATCAAAAACTAATTTCATAAATAAACCGTGACAATAGCGCCAATTCCGATGGCGCTGAGGTCGAATCCGAGGTGGCACAAAATTACCACGTCAGAGGGAGCTCAGTGCCACTCTAGCTGGCGCTGATATAGGTTCTGGATATATAACGGCGCGGAAGAGATTCGAACAAGTGAGCGGGGCTTAAGGCTGTGTTCTTACCCAAGTTTCCCAACCCATCTCCCTTGTTTTCCGCGTGCACATTTTTCAAACTGCCAAATGGTACGTTTTTTACAAAAAGTTTCTATATGAAAGTTGCTTAAAAATTATATTGATCTATTTTTTAAAAAAATAGCTAATACTTAATTAATCACGTACGAATGGACCGTTCCGTTTCCTGTGCACACTGTGTTCTGGATGGGAACATGCTGCAGCGAACACTCAGTGGTGGTATCCTTAGGCATGCATGTACGGGGTCGTGGGTTCAAGTCCTTACCCCATCGTGTTTCGATTGTTTTTTTCCACTTAGTTCCAAACTTGCTCTTTTAATTTTCTTTTGAAAGTTTAAGTGTATTTTAAATTCGTTTTATTTTTATACTAAGACCGAATTATGAAAATTTATTATTACCGAACTAACTTGTGGGTTACACGGTACCCGGATACCCAAGGAGAGGTCTTCGAGCCATGCGGCATAGGGTGGACCATGAGCTCTAGGCTCATATGGCTATCTTATAAATAAAGAAAGAGAGATTCCCGGGATAAAGATATAAATCTTAGGGGTCATGCATAGATAGAATAGAGAGATCTAGTTACAATCAATTAGATACTTTCCTTGTGACCCTCCCCCCTCATCCTATACAAGAGGGGGTAGGGTTCCTGAGATCGGGGGGCTGGGGGGAGGATGGCAGCACTTTGCGCCATTCTTCACATTTTTCCACCGGATACAGATAATCCACTACACTGGATGTATGGTATTACCTCGCTTTGAGAGCTTGAACCAGGATAATCATATGTCACCATCTCTCCTTGATTAAGCGCACCCCATAAAATATATTGCCGATCACATAAATTGACAGTTGGCGCGTCAGATAGGGTGGCGCTTGATCGTTTTCAAGGCGGAGATGGCTTCAACCACCGATTGCCGGGTTATTGTTCCAATCTGTTTTTATGAGTTGATTAATTTCTAATCAAGATTGATACACTGGTATTTTTTTTTTGTTTTCATGCCCCGACGATCTGGCAATCCGTCCGCACGTCTAGAAAATCCATCCGCTACCAGACGATCGACGGGTTTCGCCGTACTGTAGATCGCCCGCGATCTCGTCCAGGCCGGGCATGCAAACATGCATGTGTGCAGGCAACCTCCGCCAGGACAGATCAACAACACGTACGCACATGTTCCGGCCACGATGTCACGGCCGCACCATCATGACATCAACGTGATGTCATCACCATCCATCTACAGAAGCATGCATGCGATGTGACAAGGACCTCCATGCCCAACAATGCTCTACAGGCCTTAATTTTTTATCTACATGTGCAAGCATACATGTGCATCTGTTCCTTTCATCTAGATTGATCTAGTTTTTGCTGGTTGCTAATTCCAGATTAATCTATGACTTTGCATGCATGTGCCCGGCGTCTTCAACGATGGGAGTAACAAGCGGCCAGTTCCTGGCCGTCACCAAATTAATCTACTGTGTTGGCGGCCGGCTGTTAGCGGTCACGCGCGGCAGCGTGCCCGTTCGGCCATCCCTGGCCTGGCGTATACATAACCATGCATAAGATCGATTCACATGCATATGACATGTCAGGGACCATCAGAATCAGGGAGTAGCACCGTATATGCCCATCCACATATATACGTGTGGATTTAATTCATTGATGCTACTAAGATTGATTTCCCCTTTTTTGTTTGCACGTACGCTCGGGGAATGGTGTCGCACGCCCGGAGGCTTCATCCTTCGTGTGGCTGACGCGGCCCGATCACGCCCGTGGCACGTTTGTCCGGAACATGACGCCGCACGCCCGGGGGCTACGCCGTCCTCACCGCATGCCCGGGGCTTCCCCCCTTCGCGGCTCATGCGGACCCGGTTACGCCTCTATGACTTTGCCGCGGATTCGGGGACTTTTCACCTACCTCGTTATCCGGGCGCTCTACGCCGACTCGCCACGGACTCGGGGGCTTAGGGTGTGTTTGGTTAGATGGATGAGTCTGAATGGGAGATGGCCGCTCGATTTTTTGTAGTGTTTGGTTAAATGGCAGGGTGGATGGGGAGGCCCGGAATAGGGAATATTCCCTCAATATGCTGGATGAGTGCATCCGGCCGATTTGGCTGGATGAAGCCATCCAGTTTTGGACTGGGTGATGTGTCCTATTCTAATTGGCTGTGGTTGGTTTGATTTCCTGTTAAGCAACCTCCAAATGATTTTTTCTCCTAAACCGTTTATCTAATTTATGATTTGGTTACACCATTACATTTGTTATAATTAAATCTTTAAAACAAGATCTCGGATTATTATATTTTGATAAAAAAAACATATATGACAAATAGGCCCACTAACTTTTGGCTTTTTCCATCCATGCTATATCTCTCCAACCAAACAAGAAATTGGATCGCCATATCCATACAAACCAAACAAAAAATTGAATCGCCATATCCAACTAAATATGGATGACCATATCCCATCCATGCATAACAATGAACCAAACACACCCTTAGTCTCCCTTGTCATCCGGGTGACCTTCGCCGACCTCACCACGGACTCGGGGGGCTTCGCCTTCCGCGTCGTCCGGGTGCTCTACACCGACTTGCTGCGGACTCGGGGGGCTTAGCCTCCCTCGTCGTCCGGGTGACCTTCGCCGACCTCACCACGGACCCGGGGGCTTCGCCTCCCGCGTCGTCTGGGTGCTCTACACCGACTCTTCACGGACTCAGGGGCTTCGCTTCCCTCGTTGTCTGGGCATTCATCGCCGACCTCACCACGGACTCGGGGGCTTCGCCTCCCGCGTCGTCCAGGTGCTCTTCACCGACCTTGCCACGGGCTCGGGGGCTTGACACCCCTCGCTGCCTGGGTACTACTCGCCGCTGCTGGGTGATATGCTCCCCGCGCAGGACGGCTACCTGTGGCGTCAACCGAAGGCTCGCACCTCCGAGCCGACCACCTACGCCGCCGTCAGGTGATCCGCTCCCCGCGCAGGACGGGCGAACGTCTGCTTCGCCGCCTGGTGACTTCCTCCCCGTGCACGATGGCTGAAACAACTTTCACTCAACACTACTGAGATGAATACTCAGCCAGTCTTTTCTCTCCCAGCTGGCTTCACCAACCTCAGAGTCATCGTCAAGCTAAGTACTTGGGGGCTACTGTGGGTTACACAGTACCCGGGTACCCAAGGAGAGGTCTTCGGGCCATGCGGCATAGGGGTGGGCCACGAGCCCTAGGCCCACGTGGCTATCTTGTAAATAAAGAAAGAGAGATTCCCAGGTGTAGGGTCCCAAAACTAACGATTCAGAAACCGACATGTTTAATTGTATCAAGCCCTGGATAAGTAGATTGATACAGGTTCAACAATCTGGATCTTTATCGCATACATTTAGTCAAGACTCCAAAGGAGATATCTTTATATAAAATAATATGACATTTACAAGTTTGTAGCTAACTACTACAGCAGAAGCTATACGATGACCCAACTCTACCGTTTTACTATAGAATTAAACCGTCTAACTATACTAGACTTGAAGACTAGGTTTAAAGGGAACTAACTTATGTGATTGAACTCTTAGCTTCGGCAAAAACTCCAATTAGGCTTTGAAAAAGAGGGGTTGAAGTAAGGGTGAGTACAACGTACTCAGCAAGCTATTATATTATTCAACAATGAATGCATGAGAGGTAATATCTGTGTAGAGCTAGATTTACTTGCAGAAGGTTGAGAATAAAGAGGTAGAAATCCTGAAATGCTTGATATGCAACAGCATTTAAGAAAATCTTGAAATATATTTCTAACCAAAGTACCATATGAGTCCCGATGCTCAAATCCGTGAGCACGCCTATTCGAATAGTTTCAAGGATATTCATACTCCAGTAGATGTACGCTTTACCCGCTGTCCATAACTTGCCAATAATCATTAGCTTAGTCATGGCCCAGTATTAGGTTATTAACAATAGTGGCACCTGTTCCATGAACTTTAGTCCCATACGCTCTGAACGTAACGTTATCAGCAGCGAGAGGAGTTCTGGCGTTCCCGAGGTTTTTCAGAGAGAACTGGATGAGAGACCCCACGTCATCTCAACCAGATTTCCATAAAATCACACACACATCGCACGATAATCAAGATATTTACCTGCGCCTCGGTAAATATCACAATTGCCCTGCTCAGCATAAGTTTGCTCCTTCGCGAGGACTTACATAAGAACCACTATACAGAGGTACCACATTATTAATTAACATAATATCTAGGTCTGTCCCCATTCTAGAAGCTGCAGTCGTACTCATTCGTTTGACATAAGTACTTGGTAAACTTATATCGACTGAGACAGTACTAGCCACCTGGAAATCAACCAAATCTTATGTACTGTCACAATCTAAATTCATTATATTTTATACAGTCTAACTAGGCAGGGCGAAGCAAAAGCTAGCATAGAACTGGTTTGCTATATGTTCAGATTATGCATTCAAAATCATGTATGGCTAGTGCATATAATAGAATATAGAATATAGGGCATTTATGCTCAAAAGGGAGGAATAATAACTTGCCTTGCTCCAACGCAAATAAATCCAAGATAGGCAACCTGATTATCTGATTCTCGCGACATACCGTAGGTTGCCATCCAAAAGACAATAAACTCTACTGAGAAAGAGAAAGAACCAAATTCAATAAAAGCCATAAAATAATAACAAAACGATAAACGGTTAAGAGGGCTAGGGTTTAAGGTATAACCTATCTCTTTTATAGGGTATAGGGATTATGGGGCTAGTATTTGGTAGTGGTAGGTTTAGGTAGTATAATACCTAGGGTTTAGTTATATGGGAGTCGATTGTGGAGTAGGATAGCATATCGGCTAGGCTCTATATTTTGTGTGGAGGTTCTAGAGGATTGGTGGCTAGAGGGGATTAAGCAACTACTGTCGCTTATATTTTATGCGAAGGCTCTCATGGTTTGGACGATAGGAAAAATACTAGATAGTTGATATGGTTAAATAGGCATGTGGCTAATATGGGTCAAGGTTGGGCTTTGGTAGAATAGTGGCTAGGATTTAGTTGTTTAGGCCGATATCGAGGTAGGATAAATATCAGCTAGGGTTTTGGGTGTTTGCTAGTTGTCATTAGAGTTGGGTAGCATGACGGCTAGGTTTGGTATCATTTCTAGCCGTGTCGATAGAAAACATATCGGCTAGAAGAATAGGAGGTGGGTGCATGTTTAGTGGGGTGGAAGTGTTACTCCGACAACTGGGAGTGGCGGTGGAGTGGCTAGGATCACACAGAGCTCAAGAGTTAACTGTGTGGTATGCTGTGGAGGTCGAGAAAATAGTGAAGCTCCGACTGTTGTACGCATAGAGGCGTGGGGTGCCAGGAGCATCACTTCGACCTTAGGTTTGGTTTTTTGCCGGGCTTTACAACCAACGGTCCGACGTTGGGGTCCGTAGACTGTGCGAACGTCCACATGGAAGGCGTAAAGTTCCAACCGGCGGCTTTTTAGCGGCTAAAGGGTATTTTTGGGTAAAAAGGAAATATTTAAAGGGCAAATCTAAGTTTAAATTGGAGATTCAAATATAAGATTAAATCAAATATTTATTCAAATGGTATTTGAATAAATTAAGGAAATTCAAATGAAATATTAAAATAGCAAATTTGGTATCAAAATGAAGAGTTTTAATTTAGATGAATTTAGGTCCAAATTTGACTGGAATCGGATCTACGGTTTAGGAGATATGGGCTTCTAAAATTGGGATTTGAATTAAATAGAAAAAATACGAAAAGTTACTGTTGATGGGCCCACCTGTCAATTTCCTTTTCTTTTTCTTTTCTTTTTCTCTCTCCTTCTCTCGTCTTCTTCTTCCTCTGTTCTTCCCGTGTTCTCTTCGTTTCTTCTCTTTCCAGCCGAGCAACAGAGGAGAAGGAGAGGAGGGGCGCCGTCTTTCCGGCGGCTGGAAGGTGGCGACGCCGGCGGCGGGTGGTGTTCCCGAGCATCACGCACCTGGGGAGGGCGGTGGCTGGCGGAGAGGGAGAGGGGCGGTGGTGAGAGGCGGTTGTAGAGGAGGAAGTCAAGGAAGACACGGCGATGGCAGTGGCGTGGGGAGGAGGATGACGGCGGCCGGTTACTTCGTGACGACGGAAGGCGTTGGCGGCGGCGTGCGCCGTGCGCGTGTACAACACGCACACCTGGAAGAGGGCGGCTTGGCTATGGGCCGATTTGGGCCGGCTCGGCTTAGCTGGGCCGGCAGCCCAAGAAGGAGGAGGAAAATAGAAGAAAAAGAAAAAGGGATTGGGCCAATAGGAAGAAAGAACGGAGTTTCGGCCCGATGGAAAAAAAGAAAGAAGTCTAATTTAAATACTTGATTTGGATAACTAGGTTTTGCAAAGAATTTGAATTCGGAAAGAATTCACAAAAGAGATTTCTTAATTTATTTGAGTGCAATATTTAAAGGTGGAGTTTGAGGGAATTTATTTGGGAGCACTCAAATAGGAAGGGAAATCAATAATATTCCTCAAAATATTTTTGGGAATATAGAAGGAAATTAGTTGAAGGCAATAAATAGGATTTGAACTCTAAAATTGGTGTTATGTATATTTGTGGCTAAAAGGGGAAGTTGAGTGAAGAGTATAAGTTGGAATTTTCTTAGCACAAGAGCAATTATTCACAATATTTGCAATAATACTATTCTTGTGCCGAAGAGGAAATCAAGCCATAGAGATTAAATTGGTGGCTAGATCAAAAGGAGGAATTTGGATATTTGGATCGAGAATCAAAGGATGATGGATTAACAAATAATTCCAATAAAATTGGAATCGCTTGGTTTTGGTTCAAGGGCAAAATTGGAGGATTTCTTGGACCATAATTCATAATAGTGTAAATGGTTTTCAAACTAAATTTGAATAAAAGAGTTTTCAAATAGAAGAAATTTTAGTCAAAGAAAGTTTAATATTCGAAAATAGAATTCCAACAAGAAATACCAAATATGTTTTTAAATGAAAAACACAAAAGAGATTAAATACCAGAGAGGTTCTGTGCGAGTTAGTTCTAGGAGGTCCCTCTAATTAAATTGTCCTAGGTTTAGGAAGTTATTAAGAACATAAGAAGCGGCATGATGCAGGATTAGAAAATAACACATTTTCAAGATGTTACACCAGGATAAGATATAAATCTTGGGGATCATGCATAGATAGAATAGAGAGATCTAGTTATAATCAACAAGATACTTTCCTTGTAACGCTCCCCCTCATCCTATATAAGAGGGGGCAGGGGTCCCGAGATCGGGGTGCTGGGGGAGAGGATGGCAGCACTTTGCGCCATTCTTCACATTTTTCCACCGGATATAGATAATCCACCACAATGGATGTAGGGTATTACCTCGCTTTGAGGGCCTAAACCAGGATAATCATCTGTGTCACCATCTCTCTTTGATCAAGTGCACCCCATAAAGTATAGAGTTAATTGGATCCGTGCCACTACAAATATGCTAAATTAGAAAAATACCACTAATATTCGCAATATCGACCAGGTGCCACTGAAATTTTGGGAAATTGGATCCATACCACTCCGTCGTGTTTTTCGTCCTTCCCGTCACTCTTTCTGGAGGCCGAGGGCATGGAGGTTGGCGTCGTGGGTGCCGGACGGCAGAGCCAACGGGTTGAGGTGGCAGAGCGGCAGAGTTGCCGAAGCCGCCGCTTTCTTCGAGCCCCGTCGACACATTCCGTCATTCGGCCGAGTACAAAGGAGGAGGCGAGATTGACATTGGTGGCGGTGGAAGGCTGTCTCTCGGCGGCGGAGGTGCCATTGCCGATGAGGCGGTGGATGTGCGGGGTCGGGGCCTTGTGAGAGGTGGAGGCGGAGGACCACCGGAGTGAGAGGGCAGCGCCGGTGCGAGCGAAGCGGTCGGGGACGGTGAGTCCCCACGCCATAACTGTTACGCTCCCGCGGCGCAGTTGTGACGACGTGTTGTCGGGCGTTGTCAACAATGTCGACGTGTTCGCGTGCACCATTGCCAGCATCAGGTCGAAGCCACCGGCGGTAGCGGCGGCGGCAGGGGTTTTGTCTTCGTCGGATGGAGGAGGCGGCAACCACCTCACCACCGTGCTGTCACACTATGCAGCCAGGTGGCTCCCGGACATCGCATCGTCTCCGTCGGGGAGGTTCCTGCTGTCGCCGCAAAGCCCCACGGCGATGTGGATTATCACTCATTTATTGATGAAGGTGTAGGCAGGAGAATGGCTAGGGTACAGATATTGGATAAACCACTCAGGGTTTAGGTGGCTGATGGGGACAAATTTCGTGTACTCAGGTAATCCCTAATTGTGGATGGTGGATGCAGGGCCACATCTTTAAAAGTGATTTCGAGCTAATTATGTTGGGGGGTTATGACATTATCTTGGGTATGGACTGGCTCACACAACATAGTCCGATGCAAATTGATTGGGGTCAAAAGTGGATAGAATTCCATTACAATCAGCAGTTGATTAGGTTGTTGGGGGTCACTACATAGACTACTCATTGTTTTGAAATATCAGGGGAGCAGTTGCAGGAATGGCTAAGATGGGAGCAATTATGTACATGGTTCAGTTGGATGATCAGCTTGAAACTAAGGAATTGCCTATTCCCCCTGAAGTGCAGGAGCTGATTCATGAGTATCAGGAGGTGTTTGCAGAACCGACGGGTTTACCTCCCAAGAGACAATGTGACCATAGAATTCCACTGGTAGAAGGAGCACAACCGGTTAATTTGAGACCCTATAGGTACAACCCTAAACTCAAGAATGAAATCAAAAAACAGATTACTGAAATGTTGTAGTCAGGAGTAATTAAACACAGCCACAGTGCCTGGTCTTCCCCAGCCTTGTTGGTTAGAAAGAAAGATGGTTCCTGGAGGCTTTGTGTGGATTATAGGCAACTAAACAATGTCACTGTTAAGAGTTATCCTGTACCAATTATTGAGGAGTTGTTGGATGAGTTAGTAGGAGCAAAGTGGTTTTCCAAACTGGATTTGAGGGCAGGTTATCACCAAATTAGGATGGTGCCTGGGGACGAACACAAAACTGCCTTCCAAACCCATTCCGGCCACTATGAATACAGAGTAATGTCTTTTGGACTGATTGGAGCACCAGCAACCTTCCAGGGTGCCATGAATGCTACTTGGGCATCAGTTCTTAGGAAGTGTGCCTTAGTATTCTTCGATGATATATTGATCTACAGTCCTGACTTACCTACTCACCTCAAGCATCTCAGGACTGTGCTGCAACTCTTGAAGCAGGACCATTGGCAAGTCAAGTTAAGCAAGTGCTCATTTGCTCAACAACAAGTGTCTTATTTGGGGCATGTTATTGGAAGAGAAGGTGTGGCAACAGATCCAAAAAAGATACAAGATGTACTTAATTGGGCCACTCCTACCACTGTGAAAAAGTTGAGGGGGTTTTTGGGCTTAGCTGGGTATTATAGAAAGTTTGTTAGAGGGTTTGGCTTACCGAGCAAACCACTCACTCAAATGTTAAGGAAGGGAGTGACTTTCAAATGGACCCCAGAAGCAGAGGAAGCTTTCAATACCCTGAAACATGCCTTAGTGACTGCACCAGTCTTGGCTCGTCCTGACTTTGCTAAGCAATTTACTGTTGAGACAGATGCTAGTGACACAGGAATTGGAGCAGTGTTGTCTCAAGAGAGCCACCCAATTGCTTTTCTTAGTAAGGCATTGGGACAAAGGTCTAGGGGGCTATTGACTTATGAGAAGGAATGTATGGCAGTATTGCTGGCTATAGAGCATTGGAGGTCTTACTTACAACATCAGGAATTTGTGATTTTAACAGACCATTACAGCTTGGTTCATTTGGCTGATCAAAGAATCCATACACCTTGGCAACAAAGAGCATTTACCAAGCTATTGGGCATGCAATATGTAATCAAATATAGAAAGGGAAGAACTAATTCAGCAGCAGATGCCCTATCTAGAAAGGAGCCATTGGTTGAACCCTAAGTTTGGGTTGTATCTTCCTGTACTCCCACTTGGATTCAGACTATAGTCGGTGGGTATGAAAAGGATCCCCTGGCTTCTCAGTTGTTAGCAGAATTAGCAGTTGACCCTTCCGCTAAACCACATTTTTCCTTACATCAAGGGTTACTCAGATACAAAGGAAGGATATGGATAGGGGATAATCCAGAGCTGCAGCAACAATTAATTTCTGAAATGCACCACAGACCAATATTGGGGCACTCAGGTTTTCCAGTCACTTACAGGAAAATGAAAGGTCTGTTTTCTTGGAAGGGTATGAAGAAGACAATCAAGAATCAATTGCAGCACTGCCAAACCTGTCTTCAAGCTAAGCCAGAAAGAGTTAAGTACCCTGGGCTCCTGCAACCATTGCTAGTGCCAGAAGGAGCATGTCAAGTAATCTTAATGGACTTCATTGAGGGATTACCCACCTCTGAAAGGCATAACTGTATTCTAGTAGTAGTGGATAAATTCTCCAAGTACGCTTATTTTCTTCCTTTAACTCATCCTTTTACTGCTGAATCAGTAGCCAATGCATTCATGAGGAACATTTACAAGCTCCATAGTATGCCCAAGGTCATTATTTCTGACAGGGATAAGATATTTACAAGCCTCTTTTGGGAGCATCTATTCACCAAGTCGGGTACAGCTTTGCATATGAGCTCATCATATCATCCTCAATCGGATGGACAGACTGAGAGGGTAAACCAGTGCTTAGAGATTTTTCTTCGTTGCTTTGTGCATTCTACTCTAACCAAATGGGCTGCTTAGTTACATTTAGCAGAGTTCTGGTACAATAGTTCGTATCATTCAGCAGTACAGAAAACTCCCTTCGAAATCATCTATAGCTTCCCTCCCAGTCATTTTGGAATTAGTTCTGAAGATTGTGTTTGCCCAGATCTGACCACTTGGCTGTCCGACAGAAAATTCACGCACCAACTTATCAGGCAGCACCTTCATCGAGCTCAGCAACAAATGAAGGCATATGCAAATAAACATCGCAGCTTCAGGGAGTTTCTTGCAGGCGACTGGGTTTATCTCAAACTCCAACCCTATGTGCAATCATCAGTGGCCAAAAGAGCTAACCACAAGTTATCATTTCGTTATTATGGTCCATTCTAGGTGTTGAGCAAAGTGGGAACTGTAGCTTATAAACTGAATTTGCCTGATGACAGCCGTATCCACCCAGTTGTACATGTGTCCTAGTTGAGAGCAGCAGTGGGTTTCCAGCATCAGGCATCTCAACAATTGCCAGCACCTCTGGAACATCTGCAGACTCCTCAATAGGTCCTGGATCAGCACGTGACTCGCAAAGGTAACAAAGTTGTTACACAAGTTCTTGTTCAATGGTCAGGTATGGGGGCGGAAGAAGCATCATGGGAAGACATGGAGGAGCTTCGCAGTCGATTTCCTCGGGCACCGGCTTGGGGGCAAGCTGGATTCCAAGGAAGGGAGAATGTTAGCAAGCCTGAAGACATGCCTGGTACACATGGGGGGTCACGTGATGACGACAAGGAGGATGACGAGGTGTAGGGACAAGGCGATAGCCAAGAAGGCGTCTTCATCAAGCAAAGGCGCCTGCGTAAACCAA